TGTTTAAAAAAATATATTAGTTTGTAATTATGTTATTTAGTTCCTTAGTCTTCTTTCTATCCACGTTCCGAATAATTCTTCTATTGGCTATATGCACTTCAACACCTTGCCATCGTGTTTTGGATTGAGTATCAATATGAAGAAATTTGGGTTATGATTGGGTTCTAATCTTGCTGGTTGATATTGTGTTCTCCCTGGTTTATCTTGGCTCTTGTCATTCTTAATTGGATTTAGATTTGGTCTCGGACTCCGGTTGTCGTCTCGAGTGCTTTTGTAGCTCCCTTTCCCTTTATCACCGTCGTGAAATCGAAGCATGGGTTCTACGTTTTGGTGGTTCAATGGAAAGTTGACGCTGAGTATGTTTGGAGATGGAGTTGTCTTGGTTGGATTTAAACTTTGGCTTTAGCTTATTTTTCCTAGAGATAGATTGGTATTTGGTTTTTAGGATTCGTTTTTTGGTCTGAAGTTCTCGGTATAGATCCTCCCCGTATTCCATCCTCGTATTTCACCTTTGTATTCCAAACGCGCATTCCAAACTCGTATTCTACTATGTTTAATATATTATTTCAGATGAAAAAAAAATTGATGTTATTTAGTTAAAAAAAAAAATTTTAGCCACAAAAAAAAAAACTTCAGTTATAATTGATATTTTTAATTTTGACCAATTAAAGATAGAGATCATTTGCCCAATAAGCTAAAAAAAATATTTAAGCAAGTAACCAAAATCCTTCTGTGGCACAATCACAACCACTAGATTTATGGTTTTTTACTTGCTTAAATATTAATTTTTTTGGTTATTTGTTAAATTGACCCTTAAATGTAAAACATATTTATCTTATTCAACCATATAAATATTCTAAATCTCTCTCATTCTTCGGACTGTCATTTGGACTTAGACTATAATTACTTGGATATTACTTCTAGTCCTTGTTCTAAAACTCAATCGAGTTTCTTGTCGGCAGTAGATCACCATGACGAAATAGGGGTGATCAAAGATATAGTGTCCGAGTTTTTACCGTATTGACAGCGTTTTAACAAAATAGATCCGAATCGAACATCCGACTAAATATCACAAAACTTTGGTTTTAGATGGGAAAACGGGATCATATTGAGAACTTTTGTTAAATTTTGGGGACTACATTTTGTTATTGGATCTCCAAGATAATTTTTACATCATCACATACAACATTTTATAGTAGTTTCTCTACTTACTACACACTTCTAGCTTAAGGCAACTTCTCTTAGTCCATACCTCTAGATATTAGACTAATTTTACAAGCAAGACATTAAGCAACTCTTACACAACAACTCTACTTTGGTACTTCACCTAGTCTTGTACCAACCGAACACACAATCTTCTTGGGGCTAATTAAGCTAATGGCCCATTATTTTCCTTCAGACAAACCACACAAAAGCCCACTTTCTTCTTATGTTGACTTTGCA